GTCTCGACAAGAAATTCTCCATGTTGACAACCTTCAGTACTCCATTTGGGCGGTACAGATTCCTACGGATGCCCTTCGGCATTAGCTCTGCTAGTGAGGTATTTCAACGCTCGATGGAACAGCTATTTGCAGGTTACCCATGTTCTGTCATCGTTGACGACATCATCATTAGTGGCCGCGGAGTTGCTGAGCATGAACCTGAAGCTGAATCCAGCCAAGTGCAAGTTTCGCCTGGATCATGTAGGATATGTAGGTCACATTTTCACAAGTGAAGGCCTAAAGGCAGACCCTTCTAAGACAGATGCAATCACCAACATGCCAGTCCCCACAGACGTTGTCTCACTACAGCGTTTCCTCGATATGGTTAACTACCTTGGCAAGTTCATCCCGAACTTCAGCGACATCGCAGCACCACTGAGAAAACTCATCCACAAGGACACTGCATGGTGTTGGTTCCAGCAGCATCAGGATGCATTTGACCTTCTTAGATCATGCTTATCAAGTCCACCTGTCCTGTCATACTATGATGTCAAAAGACCAGTCACGCTCACCTGTGATGCGTCATGCTACGGACTTGGAGCAGCGTGCATGCAAGATGGCAGGCCAGTAGCATTTGCATCACACACCCTCACTGACACAGAGACGAGGTATGCACAAATTGAAAAAGAACTGCTAGCTGTTGTGTTTGCCTGTACAAAATTCAAAGACTGTGTTTGGAAAGCCTGTAGTGGTGGAGACTGACCACCAACCTTTAGTGACTATCTTAAAGAAGCCCATCCACACAGCCCCTGCCCGTCTGCAGAGAATGTTGCTCCGGCTGTAGAGCTACGACATCAGTTTGGTGTACAAAAAGGGCAAGTATATGTATGTAGCAGACACTCTTTCACGTGCCCCAACCGCACAAACATCTCAAAGCCCTGCTGAAAATTATGCTTATGAAGTTATGTCTGTGAGCTACATCTCCACAGCCCGCCTGGAAGAACTCAGAAAGCACACAGCAGAGGACGAAGATCTGCAAGCCCTCAGTGCAGTCATTAATAGAGGATGGCCCATCCGACAGAATCAGCTCCAACCTGCTGTCCGTCTCTTCTTTCCCTACAGAGATGAAATGACAGTAGAAGAGGGAATTGTCATGAAAGGCCACACAACTGTCATTCCTCAGTCCCTGCACAGAGAGTACATCAAAAATAGTGCACAGAGGACACCCCGGCATTGAAGCAACCAAACGCAGAGCAAGAAGCATCATCTTTTGGCCAGAAATGTCTAGAGACATCACTGAGGAGTTGCTTTCATGTACAGTGTGCAACAGCACCAGATCCCATCAGCAAAAGGAGCCCCTCCAGCTTAATCCTGTGCCAGATCTCCCATGGTCCACAGTGGCAACAGACATCTTCGAGTGGCATGGAAAACGGTATCAGGTGCTGGTTGACTCATACTCTGGCTGGTTTGAAATCGACCTTCTCCGGGATGTGACCTCATCAACTGTGATAACTAAATTGAAGAGACATTTCTCTGTTTTCGGCACACCACACACACTCATCTCTGATAATGCTGGACAGTACACCAGTCAGCATTTCAAGGACTTTGCAAAACAGTGGGACTTTGTTCACATCACCAGCAGTCCTGAATACCCACAGTCAAACGGACTAGCAGAGAGAGCAGTCCGCAGTGCAAAACAGTTGATGGAACGTTCACACAGAGATGGCACAGATGTCTTCCTCAACCTGATAAATCTCAGAAACATTCCCCGTGATCTGGCGTTAGGCTCTCCTGCTGAACGCCTGATGTCGCGACAAACACGTGCAGCCATCCCTGTGAGCACCAAACTGTTACAGCCAAACCCAAAAGATGCACAACTAATCAGAACACAACTCCTCAACAAGCGCCACTATGACATCTCAAGTTCTCCTCTGAAACCCCTGGCAGAGGGACAAGTGATCAGGATGCAGACCCCAAAAGGATACGATCGGCTTGGCGTTGTCAAGGAAGTGAGCGAGAAACCACGCTCTTACATAATCCAAGCCAACGGGACTTCATACAGACGGAATCATCGTCACATCATTCCTGTTCCCGAGCCGTCGCCCCAGCAACAGCAGCCTCAAGATTTCGACCCTCACAACACCGACCCCTCTATGATGGACTGTGTACCCCACACACCACACACACCTGAGAGAAACAGCAGGCTGACACAGAACAGTTCCCCTTCACTACCAAGACACACATCACATTTCCCTTGCAACAACAGTGACACACCATACATAACACGATCAGGTCGCACACGCAAACCAAACCCTAAATATGTGCAGTAACACTGTTGGACAATCTTGTTAAAGTGATATGTTTAGTCATTTCCTTTTCCTGTTACCTGGTAAGGTATTTAGTAATGGTTTATTGTTTGTGTCACCAAATGCTAAAGGAATGTTCAATATCATCAGCCTTAAATGTTATTTACTTTCAGATAGAAACATCAGCTAAAGAGAAGGGATGTAGATCATTCTCATATGATTAAGTTTGTCCTTTGCAGGCCACCGTAGCTGGTGCGTCACACGGTGACGTGTTAAGGTAATAGGCATTCAGTTGTTGGTCGGCATGCAACGTACATGTTCACTGTACATGCTGTGGTCATAAATAAAGCCACCACTTGCCTATGCATTGTGTATTCCTTGTACATACACACATGCATTTATTAAGAAGTATTGACAACTTCTACAGCAGGTACTTGCTTTCAAGCAGAACAGGGCAAACAAACTTAGCAGGAGTGTTTACGTGTTTGGCGTAATGACGTACAACGTCCTCCACAACTTCTGTAGTCCTATTCAGCCACTTGGTAACAACCATCGCTTTTCAGACACGTCAACTCTTCAGAAATCACCAGTGGGGTCACTGCTGATGTATTTAATGTTGTAGAACAACACGTGATCCGTCTCTTAAATGTGTCTCAACCACAGACCTTATTTCCAGCTATTTTCCAAAATCCTATGGAGAAATCCCATTGGCTCTGAGACGAGGGAACAGGAAGTGGTGAAATGCTAACTAAGGCCCAATCACAAACCACTCCCTCGACCCTACCCCTCCGTGACGGATTGAACTCCGTCTGTAGCCACACTCGCAGCTCAACGAGGCTCCCTCCTGTCAGATGGAGGGAGTAAATACAGCAGCAAGCTTTGGGACAGCCTCCCCTCTCTCCGGCAGAAACAGGAAATGCCGTAACTGTATGTAACAACGGTTTCAAATCAGCATCTCTTACCCCCAGTTTCCACTGGGTCCGTCCGCGCCGCGCCACGGCTGCGCCACGGTTTTGGTCCGACCTCCTCTAGCGCCATAACCCACCGGACGCGTCCCAGAAGCGTTTTGCAGGTTCGCAGTTTTGTTATTGATTCGGGCATTCTGGACATTTGTACTTCTACAAGAAAGTAAGTAGGCTACGTAGTTAAATGTTTTATTTTTGTGTTTATTGAATGGCTCTGTACTGTACCTACAAGTATTAATTAACTTTAAAACATTAATATGTAGTTGTTACCTTCCACTCCACAAACTGCAGCGACTAAAAACCAGGCCTTGTCCTTTCTGATGTTGTCCTTGTAGTAAGCATTGGTTACATCATATAAAATAGTGTTTTTCCACTTCCATGATGAAAACCTCGTCGTCCATTGTGCGTATCGTAGTGGAGGTTGGAGGTTGTGATGGAGGGGGGTCTGCTAAATTAGTATATGTGGGTGATGGGCCTGGCCCGGATGCTCACCGTTCCACTTCCTGCGAGGGGGGGCTGCCTGTCCGACCTTATGTTACGGCTGCGCCTCGGCAAAAATAGGATTCATCCTAATTTTAGAGAAGCGCTGCGCCGAGCCGCTTCTGGGACGCGTCTGAGCCGTAACCCGGCGCGTGTGGTGGAATAGCACCCATTGACTAGAGTGGCCGCGATCCTTACGACCGCCGCGGCACAGCCGTAACGCGGCGGAGACGGACCCGGTGGAAACTGGGGGTTACCCCCTAATCCCACCAGGAGCGTCTGCGGCGTTTTTAGCGATCGCGACCACTCTAGTCAATGGGTGCTATTCCACCAGACCCGCTGCGCCGCGTCCCAGAAGCTCCTCGCCGCAAGGAATTTCTAAAATATAAGATGAATCCTATTTTTGACGCGGCACAGCGCAGGCAGGAAGTGGAACGTTCATCCAACAACTGCGAGGCTGCACACACGACGCTCCGGTTCCGCAACGTTTTGAAATGCGCCTGGTGGGTTATGACGCAGGAGGAGGTCGCAGCACGGCGCAGACGCTTCCGGTGGGATCAGTGGATCAACGGAGCTGTTAGATTAACATTAATGTGCTTATTGTAGTTCTGAGTGCAATGCCTTGTGGCCAGTCGCACCATCCTCTTGATGGAGCATATGTGTGGGCTGGACCAGGAAAGGAGTGAACAGAGGGTCGAGTTGTCGAGTTGTCCATTCTTGTTCTGTTTTTCTGTGACTATCTAGTTGCGCACGCTACTAAAGAGACGCGCTACCATGGAAACCAGACAATGGTGTAGCTGTAATAAGTCCGAGTGGAAACAGTCGTGTGTAAATCTGATTTGTCAGAAATCGGGAGACATGCGGGAGAAATATGACCCCGGGAGGAAACCGGGATAGGGCTATGAAATCGGGAGTCTCCCGCGAAAATCGGGAGGGTTGGCAAGTATGATGTAACAAGGGTTTCAAATCAGCATCTCTTGGACTAAAATGTTTAATTAATAACTCAAATAAAACTCCAAACGGTTTGGGAATGGGCCTTACTTTCGGGTTTTAGGATGCGTCACTGCACCACTCTATTGCCAAGTAGTATAGTATCTTCATATCATATGTAGTTAACTAATAGAGAAAAAACATCATAGTATAGTATGTTGAAAATATCATGAAAACATTTCATAGTATGGTATTTCCAAAAGCATGAACAAAATATTTAGTAACGTAAGTCGAAAATGTAATGAAAAAAGTAACAAAATACAAGAATTCAGCAAACAAATTTAAAAGGCTTCTAAGAGTTTTATACTTTATTGAGACCTCTAAATGAAATACACACGATGAGTAGTGAGGCGTATTCTAGAAAACACAAAGTGTCTCACAATCTTAACCCTCAAAAGTTTCCAGGATGTCTCAGTGTGTAGAGAGCCAATCCAACGGCAGCATTACATTCCAACTAGCAATAGATCTTTGCAGAAAACCTGGTGAAAAACAAAAAACAATATAATAAGAAATGAAAACAAAATATGGTAAAATACAAATGCATGAACACAAGCTTTAATACAATGTGTTTCTTCAAAAGGTATATTCATAAATAACACTCACCGTATGTAATTTAGCCCAATTGCAACCTGAAAACATGGAGAGAAAAGAACAACACTGAAAATGTGGAGCTGCTAAAGGCTCCAGGCTACATTAGCCACTATCAACAAATAAACATTAAAATGACTGATTTAACTCTGCGGCTGAGTTGCTTTGTGGGTAATGTAGGCAAGTGTTGACTGTGAATTTGATGGTGTCACTTGAGTACAAAGCCAAAACTGAAATGATCTTTGAAATAAATTGTTTTTGGGATTCGAGAGATCAACTTCATTTGCTTATGGTAAACATGTAGCTAGCAGGGGTTAGCTTCTCTTAGCAGGAAGTCAACCGAGGTGGGAGGTAACTAAGTACATTTACTCAAGTACTGTACTTCAGTACAACTTACTACTGGATACTTTTATTCTACTTGAGTATTTCCATTGTATGCTACTTTGTACTTCTACTCCACTACACATATTTGTAGTTACTGTGCAGATGTGGATGAATGATGTGAAATATAATCAAGTGTTGAATCAGACTTTAGTTCCACCTGGAGTAAATCCACAAGCTACCCTGCAGAATACAAAGTCATTCAAACTAGCTGCACCTTTACCAGCTTTGAGAACACTTTAATGATCAATCATTATAAAACACATCATATATATTATTCTGAAATGGACCAATCTGCACAATGACTACTTTTACTGTCGCTACTTTCACTATATTTTGATGATAATACTTTTCTACTTTTACTTGAGGAACATTTTGAATGCAGGACTTTTACTGTAACAGAGTATTCCCACACTCTGGTACTTCTACTTTTACTCAAGTAGAAGATTTGAGTACTTCTCCCACCTCTGGAAGTCAATACTATATCTGCTTAACTGTCTGGCAACCATTGTGAATGTTAAATTAAGAGTATTGGCCAAAACCAAGTCTTTTTAATCTTTTAAAGACCTGGAGAGGGTTATCAACGCCTTTGTGACCTCGAGACTCGATTATTGCAACGCTCTATACGTGGGTATGGACCAGGCCTCAATTAAACGCCTGCAGCTAGTGCAGAACGCAGCGGCACGTCTCCTCACTGGCCACAAAAAGCGTGACCACATCACCCCAATTCTGGCCTCACTACACTGGCTTCCAATTCTGTTCCGAATTGATTTTAAAATCCTTTTATTTGTTTTTAAAGCCCTAAATGAGCTGGCTCTGGCCTATATAGCTGAACTCCTCCAGCGCTACACCCCAGCCAGAGCGTTAAGGTCTGCTGACCAGCTGCTACTGGTAGTGCCTAAAACCAGGCTAAAAACCAGAGGGCACGAGCCTTCGCGGCAGCTGGCCCTAGGCTCTGGAACACTCCGCCCCTCCTTGTGAGGTCGGCCCAGACCCTAGGGGTTTTTAAATCTAAACTAAAAACTCACTTCTTCACCCTGGCCTTCTAATCAGAGCAGAGCACGACTCATGACACTTCCCTGTGTTTGACTTTTATATTTGGTGTTGTAATTTATTGTCTTCTGTTTACATCAGTAGGAATGTGTTATTTATTATCTGCATGTGCAGCACTTTGGCTCGACCGAAAATCGTTTTTAAATGTGCTATAGAAATGGCCTTTAAGAAGCCGTCATCAGCTGTTTCCAATGTAAGGCTTCAACAGGGGCACACTGCACCCTCACACAGCCAACACTATGAACGTTTTACAGATGTATACATTTGAACTACGTTAGATTGAGGTTTAGGAAAAACATCATGTTTTGGGTTCAAATAAGTGTGCCTTCGTTTTATATACATAACTATTACGTTTTTTATGTAAATTATGTCTGTGAGGTTGATTTGGTTTAGAAATGTGCATACAAAACATTGTGACATGGACTCGAGTTGGACTTGTTAAAGACTTGTGACCTGAATTGAGGCATGTCTAAATTAATGAATTACATTTTTGATAATTCAAAATATTTGATGTTTTTTGTGTTTATGAGACTGTATACCTGCAGTATAGAGTGCCACAGTGACGCGTCCTAAAACCCGGAAGTAAGTTAGCATTTCACCACTTCCTTTTCCCTCGTCTCAGAGCCAATGGGATTTCTCCATAGGATTTTGGAAAATAGCTGGAAATAAGGTCTGTGGTTGAGACACATTTTAAGAGACGGATCACGTTTTGTTCTACGACATTAAATCCATCAGCAGTGACCCCGCTGGTGATTTCTGAAGAGTTCACGTGTCTGAAAAACGATGGTTGTTAACAAGTGGCTGAATAGGACTACAGAAGTTGTGGAGGACGTTGTACGTCATTACACCGAACATGTAAACACTCCTCTCAGTTAGTTTCTGTTCTGCTTGAAAGCAAGTACCTGCCTCCTGCAGACTGTTCAAACAAACACTTCAACTTGTACCATTTAGAGTCTGTATGTTTGAATATGGATCTTAAGTTGGCGTGACGTTGAAGCAGCAACTCTGCTGTAGTTCCTTTATAGCATAACATTAGCATTTTGCTTCTGGCGACTAGATTTATGATTCGAAAATGATAAAAGTAGGGTAGACATGTGGATATTATCCGGCTGAACAAAACGTGATCCGTCTCTTAAATGTGTTTCAACCACAGACCTTATTTCCAGATATTTTCCCAAATCCTAGCGTTTTTGTCGAGGGAACCATGAAGGAGTTTACTTCCAGGTTTTAGGACACGTCACTGTGGCTCTCTATTGACTGCAGTATCTTTGGCGGTGTGGTCATACTCGGGACTTGACCAAAGCAAAAAAACTGAGAAGTTGCTTGGGTATTCGACTAAATTACTTAGTTCTTGCTTTCCGTAAGTTATGTCTTTTAAACAACAATGTTCAAAAATATTTTAATGGCATTGAATATGTAACAAGCTTTAAATTATACTTACATTCAGAAAACGTAACTTTCCCACGAGTGCACTGGGCTTCAGAAAAATGATCAAAAAACCTGCCATGTCTGGAACATTCAAAATTCTCTTCTTCACCATCATTTATAAGTCTGACTCCAACAGATTTTACGTGATCAAGTTCATAAGTGTCCACAGAACAGTAGGTGGCTGGAAAAAGAAACAACACATTTATTTACACAGCCAAGTTCTCTGAATGTTAGAGTGGACTTGTTTTTACCTTTGCAGGTGGGTGCTTTGGACCACGTGCCATCGCTGTAACATCCCACCATCTTCGGACCCACTAGTTCGTATTGAGCAGCGCATTGGTACCGCAAACTCATTCCAGTTTTTTTCACAACGTCACCGTCAGCAACCACGGGGGGAGTTCCACAGATCTCGACTGAAATAGATTTAATTTTTTTTGTTATTTCAGAAATACTTATTTCAAGATGCCATTGCAGAGTAAATCATCTCAAATATAAAACCTTCTTTTTCATTTTAACTGTTGTTCATTTGTGTCAATCAGTACAATTGTAATTTCAAACGTATTGTATATATGAGGGTTATGTTATACTATAACAGTCCTATTACATTTCTCATACAAATCCAAGCCTACCTCGGGAGACAGGTTTCGTCATAGTGTTCCCCACACCTGCAGAACCACCATGTCCAGAAGGAGAAGAACAACAAAAATACATACAATATGTTTACTTTTATGAATCACAAAATATGGTGGTTTTCTTTGAACAAAAGTTCCCTGGTCTCTCACCAAAATGCAGTTTTGGATTATTTATAGTTCTTGGTCTTTTTTACTACTTGAGGGCAGCAGAACAGCACTGGCATATTATCACCTTATAAATTGAATATGGTGGATTTGTGAGAAAAAAGTGGCCTATTTACACAAGTCAGCTGACACAGAGCAACATGAACATTCATTTCAACAATTCTTAGCAAAGTATTTTATTGTGGTAGTTCAATAAGAAATAGATAAATGCGCTAACAGTGAAAATAAAGAACGATTAGCAAGTTGACAAATATGTGAACAATGCTGATTTACATTTTTCACTATACACGTTCACAGATACTCATCAAGTATGGGGGGAACGAGTCCTAAAACATGGCAATTAGTTAGCATTTTACCACTTGATGGGTTAGATTTTCACGTTTTGTCCTTTGACAAAAAATGCATCTGATATTACCCCACTAGCAGTGAATATCCAAAGCTTTTATGTGTCATAAAAATGGTGGTTGATAACAAGAGGCTAAATGCGACAACTGAAAGCCATCCCGCCGGACATTAGCCGCCTTTAGCTTAGCGGTTGTGACACGCAGCTATGCAACAGTGATGTAGCTTGTAGTTTATGAGGTGTTATTTGTGCCAAATACTGAACTAACTGAGCAGCCAATCGTGTCGATCGTCGCCTACAATGCCGTGAACTATGCCGCGAGAGAAGTAACGTGGCACTCTCGTCGCCACCCCTCTCATCTGAGAAGCTACGTGATGTCTGCGTCTGAAGTTACTTTACTTTGGTAACCTGCTTTACAGCTCTCAGCACTCAAGCCTGCATTATTAACATAGGCAGGGCCAGTCTATTGATTGCGTGAAGTAGAACTGCGTGACTCAGTCATCCTTTAGCTCAAAAAGCATTTAAATACCGCATTTAGAAACTGATGAACTCAGTGTGCATATGGACCCGGTGACAACATTACCTATTGACGCAGCAACCACTGTAAGTTATATTCTTGTTTAATTAGACTTCTCGGTTTCATTTATTCGACTCTGTATAATTGTTACTGTAGCTAAAACGGCTAAATCGCTTTTGAGAGATTTTAAATCTCAGATCTGCTCAGGCGAAACCTGCTTTACAGCTCTCAGCACTCAAGCCTGCATTATTAACATAGGCAGGGCCAGTCTATTGATTGCGTGAAGTAGAACTGCGTGACTCAGTCATCCTTTAGCTCAAAAAGCATTTAAATACCGCATTTAGAAACTGATGAACTCAGTGTGCATCTGGACCCGGTGACAACATTACCTATTGACGCAGAAACCACTGTAAGTTATATTCTTGTTTAATTAGACTTCTCGGTTTCATTTATTCGACTCTGTATAATTGTTACTGTAGCTAAAACGGCTAAATCGCTTTTGAGAGATTTTAAATCTCAGATCTGCTCAGGCGAAACCTGCTTTACAGCTCTCAGCACTCAAGCCTGCATTATTAACATAGGCAGGGCCAGTCTATTGTCGCCCATCAGCTGTAGATAGTTAACTAATTAACTTCAGCTGTGAGAACTGAGCAATCAGGCGTCCATTTCGGGTAGCTCTTTCCTGGAGCGGCAGCTTCAGCGGCAGACAGGCTAAGACTGACAAAGACATTAGAGTCCTACGGGAGTAAGACTGACAAAGACATTAGAGTCCTACGGGAGTCACGAGGGAGGCAAAGAGGAGGCAAATCCTACTTTGATTGAGCTAAGTATCGTTGGCGTTTTTAATTTTTACTTTTGTTGTTTAGCCCCTCATGCTATAATCATGTGTATTTTCTCCATTCCTGTTCATGTGTCTTCTCGCAATTATCACTGGCCCCGTGTATCTCCTAATCGATATAACCGGCCTGCTCTCGTCTATCCCACGTGCTCCACTGAGATCCATCATCTAGTTTCAGGTGGCCTGTGGAACTGCCAGTCAGCTGTTCCTACGGCTGACTTCATCTCTGGCTACGCCTCCCTGCGGTCTCTGGATTTCCTTGCTCTCACTGAGACCTGGATTACTCCATCCAACACATCCACCCCAGCAGCTCTCTCCACTGCATATTCCTTCTCCCATACACCCAGACCCACTGGCAGAGGAGGTGGCACTGGTCTCCTGCTCTCTCCCAAATGGAGCTTTTCCCTCTTCAAGCTACCTAACTTTACTCCTTCCACCTTTGAGTTCCATGCCGTCACAGTAACCCATCCTATACAGTTAACCATTGTTGTTCTCTACCGTCCACCAGGCGCCTTGGGGGACTTCTTGGAGGAATTAGATCATCTCCTCTCACACATCCCTGAAACTGGCCCTCCCGCTGTACTTCTCGGAGACTTCAACCTCCAGATGGGGAAGATAGACGAACTAACATCTCTGTTAACCGCCTTTGCTTTCTCACTCTCTCCGTCCCCACCGACTCATAAAGCTGGCAATGTCCTTGATCTCATATTCTCAAGGAACTGCGCTACTTCTAACCTCTCTGTAAACCCGCTCCACACATCCGATCACTTCTTCATTTCATTCTCTCTATCCCTTTCCAAACATAACAAACTAATCTCTTCCCATCCTACACTTGTCCGCCGTAACCTTCGCTCCCTCTCTCCCTCTACCTTTGCCTCGTCGGTGCTCTCAGCCCTCCCTTCCTCTGATTCGTTCCAACTACTGCCTCCAAACTCTGCTGCAGAAACTCTCCTCTCTACTCTCTCATCCACTCTGGACTCGCTCTGTCCTCTGACATCTCGGCAGGCTCGTCAGTCCCCTCCGGCTCCCTGGCTAAATGATGCACTGCGTGCTAATAGAACCGTCCTTAGGGCAGCAGAGCGGAAATGGTGGAAATCCAAACACCGTGACGACCTCCTAACCTATCAAGCTCTCCTCTCCTCTTTCTCTGCTTCGATCTCTCAGGCAAAAAGCACTTTCTTTCAAGATAAGATCCAATCTTCCTATTCCAATCCTAAAAAACTATTTTCCATCTTCTCCACCCTCTTGGACCCTCCAAAAGCTCCTCCCCCCTCCTCACTTCTGTCAAGCGACTTTGTTACCCCACTTTGAAAAAAAGGTTAATGATATTCGCTCTTCTTTTCTGACTCACCTTTACTCACCGCTGGGTCACCAGACCCTCCTTCCACCAACACACTAACCTCCTTTTCCCCTCTCTCTCCAAGTGAGGTTCTTACCCTCATTACCTCTGCCCGCCCTACCACCTGTCCTCTGGACCCTATCCCTTCAAACCTCCTTCAGACTATCGCTCCTGATATTCTACCGTTTCTCACCCATTTCATCAACACTTCTCTAACTTCTGGTCACTTTCCAAACAGTCTCAAGGAGGCAAGAGTAAACCCTCTCCTAAAGAAACCCACTCTCAACCCGTCTGATGTTATAAAACTACAGGCCTGTCTCTCTCCTCCCGTTCCTGTCTAAATCACTTGAACGCGCTGTCTTTAAACAACTCTCCTGTTATCTCAATCAGAACAACCTTCTGGATCCGCACCAGTCTGGTTTCAAGGCAGGTCACTCCACAGAAACTGCTCTCATTGCTGTCACGGAGGAACTGCACACTGCCAAAACTGCATCCCTCTCCTCTGTCATCATCCTGTTGGACCTGTCTGCTGCATTCGACACGGTGAATCATCAGATCCTCCTTCGCACTCTCCAAAAACTTGGAGTTTCTGGCTCTGCACTTTCCCTCCTCACCTCATACCTGAAAGACCGTACCTACAGGGTGACTTGGAGAGGGTCTGAGTCCGACCCTTGTCAATTAACTACGGGGGTCCCTCAGGGCTCTGTTCTTGGTCCCCTCCTCTTCTCCTTGTACACAAACTCGCTCGGATCAGTCATTAGCCCGCATGGTTTTTCTTACCACTGCTACGCTGACGACACCCAATTAATTCTGTCCTTTCCCCGCTCAGAGACCCAGGTCGTCGCACGCATCTCTGCTTGTCTAGCTGACATCTCTCAGTGGATGTCTGCTCACCACCTCAAGCTCAACCTTGACAAGACTGAGCTGCTCTTCCTCCCGGGAAAAGATTGTCCAACTCTTGACCTGACAATCAACATCGGCACCTCAGTTGTTTCCCCGACTCAGACTGCAAGGAATCTGGGTGTGACCCTAGATAACAACCTGTCCTTCACTGCAAACATCGCTGCTACAACCCGCTGCTGCAGATACACGCTTTACAACATCAGGAAGATACGTCCCCAGCTGACTCAGAAAGCGACTCAGGTTCTGGTCCAGGCTCTCGTCATCTCACGCCTAGACTACTGCAACTCCCTCCTGGCTGGTCTACCTGCATGTGCCATCCGACCTCTGCAGCTCATCCAGAATGCAGCGGCTCGTCTGGTTTTCAACCTTCCTAAATTCTCCCACACCACTCCGCTCCTCCGCTCCCTTCACTGGCTTCCGGTAACTGCTAGAATCCACTTCAAGACACTGGTACTTGCTTACCGTGCTGCGAATGGATCTGGCCCTTCCTACATCCAGGACATGGTTAAACCGTACACCCCAGCGCGTGCACTACGCTCTGCATCAGCCAAACGACTCGTTGCGCCCTCGCTGCGAGGAGGACCCAAGTTCCCATCGGCGAAAACACGTGGGTTTGCTATCCTGGCTCCAAGATGGTGGAATGAGCTCCCCATTGACATCAGGACGGCAGATAGCTTGCACATCTTCCGGCGCAAACTGAAAACTCATCTCTTTCGACTCCACTTCGAGCGCTAGAACGATTAACGAAGCACTTTTATACCAATAAAGGACTGGATTACCTAAAGCCAGTTGAGTAGCACTTGAAATGTTTGGCTCTATGAAACCTGATATACTTATATGATTCTGTTTTCTTCAAGGTTGTGTCTTCCTGGTCGAATGTACTTATTGTAAGTCGCTTTGGACAAAAGCGTCAGCTAAATGCAATGTA